TGAACCAGTTTGCAGCCCCACCAACAGTGGATGAGTGTTCCCCTTTCCTCATATCCCCTCCATCATTTGGTATCATTTGTTTTCTTAATCTTAGCCAGTCTTACTGGGGTAAGGTGAAATCTTAAAGTGGTTTTAATTTGCATTTCCCTGATTATTAGTGATGTTGAACATCTTTTAAGATGTTTCATAGCCATCTTTACTTCTTCTTTTGAAAACTTTCTGTTCAGCTCCTTAGCCCATCTTTCAATTGGGTTGCTTCTTGTCTTGGTTCTCTGTTTTTTAAGTTTGTTATATATTCTGGTAATTAAACCTCTGTCAGATGAGTCGCTGGTGAAGATTTTCTCCCATTCTGTGGGTTTTCTGTTTGTTTCCTTGGTTGTCTCCTTTGATGTACAGAAACTTTTTAGTTTAATGAGGTCCCACATGTTAATTCTTGCCCAGTTTTTTTAAAAACTTAGTGTTTAGCAAATATACCATTATATGATATATAGCTTATGATTCCATTCTAAAACCAATGTAACAGGGGCTGGAGAGATGGCTCAGCGGTTAAGAGCACTGACTGCTCCTGCAGAGGACCTGGGTTCGATTTCCAGCACCCACATGAAGGCTACAAACCGTCCTTAACTCCAGTTCCAGGGGAATCCGAAGCCTTCTTCTGACCTCCGCAACATTGCACGACATGGGTGCACTCACATGCATGCAGGCAATACACTCATACACATAAAATAAAAATAATACATAAAATATTTAAAACCAATGTAACAAACTTTTTCATTGCTTAATATAGCATTATGATTACCAACTAGAGAAAAAGGCATATGTAGAAAATAATAGGTAGTGCAAGGAGATTAACTTGAAAATGAATTCAAAATTATTCCCTCTTTTGGCTTTTTTGAAGTGATGATACAAATATAGCTGCCTCATCTTTATTTTTACCATTGATCATTTTTTATTCCAGAATTTCATATGATATATTTTGATTACATTCAGACCCCAACCCATCATCTCCAGCCCCTCTCAACTATCCCCTCTCCCCCCCAATTTCATGTCCTCCATTATTATATGTCCTTTTTAAAAAATAAAAAATTTCTTTTCATCCTTCTTACTCTTTTTTTCCAGTAATAAAAATGTCAACCCAGTATAGTCAGTAATTCAGTACACAGTGACTGGGGATCTCTGGGGTCACAAGCACTGTGCTACATATGAGTGCTTGCTTAACATATGAGGACCTGAGTTCAAGCCCCAGCAACTTCAAAAATAAATCCCATTATGCCAGCTGAGGAGGTACATACCTGAATCTCAGCACTTGGGAAACAAAAGGAGAAGGATCATGAGTTCAAGGATAGCCTAATCGGCATAGTGAGACTCTGCCTCCAAAAACTTTTAATAAGTATATTGATGTGTCTTGATAGAGACTGCCTGTGGATAAAAACTAAAGCAAAAAAAAAGTGAGCAGGAAAAGCTACAGGTATTTTTATTTTCATGGACTTCATTAATACACTTCTCCTCGTTCATTTGAAATAAAATTTTATTGCTTGGCTGGGCATGGTGGGACAGGCCTTTAATCCCATCATGCAGGAGTCAGAGGAATCAAATCTCTGTGAGATCAAGTTCAGCCTGTTCTACCTAGGGCAGCTGGGGCTACAGGGAGATCCTGTCTCAAAAAAACCAAAAGAAAAAAAAAGCATTTATTGCTGATCCATATTTATATTGGTGGATACAGCTAAGAACCTAGTAACAATAGAAAAAGTAAACTACTTTTTATAACAGAGTGGATTATGAACGAATCAGAGATGTTGGCCCTGACAGGGCAGCATCTGAGTGGCTACTTCGCTGTGGGGCCATGGTGCGCTACCATGGCCAGGAGAGGTGGATGAAGGACTATAACAATCTTCCAGTGGGCCCTCTGGACAAATACAAGATTCAAGCCATCGATGCCACTGACTCTTGTATCATGGGCATTGGATTGGAACACATGAGTAAGTACCCTATCATTCTGCTTTAGGAAGTACAGGTGATGTGCAATGATTGTTTTGTTGCAGTTGATTCACAGTTATAGTCATAGAGATGCCCTTTTTGCTCATTTCAGCTTATTTATTCCTGTGTTAGTATTAATCTTCAAAGTAAATAGAGATAACATGTATCTTTTGCCTTTCTTCCCTCATGAGCTTCTTTCTGTGTTCTTTTGGTCACTTAAAATTCAAAGCCTGTTTGGTTTGCCAGACTCTTTGTCAAACTTATGTCTTTGTTTTTTTAAAATTTTTATTATTTTTATCTTATGTGTATGCGTGTATTCCTGCATGTAGGTAAGTGCACCCATGTCTTGCAATGCCCACGGACAGAAAGGGCTGTCGGATCCCCTGGAACTGGAGTTACGGACAGTTGTTAGCAGCCATGTGGGTGCTGGGATTCGAACCCGGTCTTCTGCAAGAACAACCGGTGTTCTTAACTGCTGAGCCATCTCTCCAGCCCCAAACTTATGTCTTTGTGAAACCCTCGATAACATAAGACTTATTATATCCAGATAGCTTTCGCTCATGTAGGAATTCTTTCCTCCATGCATGGGCATATGACTACAACATGGCCCTGTCCACTGACAACAACCTGTGTAGTGAATACTTTGTATGATTAACAGGGTGAATAGTCACTCTAGTTTTTATAGGACTGTCAAAGCCAGGACAGTCCTGGGCAAACTAATGGTAATAGTAAAGCAGATTCTTAAACTGCACATTTTCCCCCCAGCAGGCCTAGAGCATGTTGAAAAAATAAAACTATGCAAGTGTCATTATATTGAAGATAAGTGTTTGCAGAGGCTTAGTCAACTTGAAAAATTACAAAAAAGCCTACTGGAACTGGAAATAATTTCCTGTGGGAATGTCACGGATAACGGCATCGCTGCTTTGCGTCATTTTAGGTAAGTGGTCAAAGCCAAAATGAAAACTCGATAATGATAAAATGAATGGTCAGAGTATAGAAGAGTTGAGGGGTGATGTCTTCAGTTCTAAAAAAAAAAAAAAAACTTTAAGAAAATGAACTCAGGCTGGAGAAATGGATCAGTGGTTAAGAGTGCTTGCTCCACAAGAATAAGGTCCAGGGTTCAGATCCCAGGACCCACGTAGAAGCTAGGCATAGTCCTGCTCACACTTGCATCTCCAGCACTAAGGAGGGCAGAGACAGGAGGATTGCTGGGGCTTACTGGCTGCCAGCCTAGGTGAAAAACTCAAGCTCCAGGTTCAGCAAGAGACTCTGCCTCAAATGAATACGGGGGAGAGTGATAGAGGATGCCTGTCATCCTTTTCAGGCCTCCATGTATGCATGCCAGTGTGTACACCTTCATGTACACCCCACATACACATGGGCAAAATGACTGCAATTTCATCTATACTACAAAATTAAAATGATCAGCCTAAATATAATAAAGGTTTATTGTATCTTTAAGGGATTTTTTTTTAATTGAAGCTATGTAAAGCACCTAGCATAGTGCCTACCACAAGAAGCCCTCAATGAGAGAGAGATATGTTCTCTTTATCTTTTAAAGCTATTTTCCCCATGGTTTTGCTATCCTAATGACGTTTGGTATATACAATATAGCTTTTTGTTTTTTTGAGACAGGGTCTCCTTGTAGCCTCAGCTGGCCTGGAACTCACTTTGTAGACTAGGCTGGCCTTGAACTCACAGAGATCTGCCTGCCTCTGCCTCCTAAATGCTGGGATTAAAGGCGTGTGCCACCATGCCTGGCCCATTTAGCATTTAACTCTATAATTAAGTTGATTTGGGGTGGGGGGAGGGGGGATCCTTGAAATACTCACCTTTCTGTCTCTGGAGCTTAGAACACTGCCTGATAGTGATAAATTTGAAAAGCACGAATCCATTGGTTTAAGATAGCAGTTCTGCATTCCTTTCTACCACTAGCCAGACCCATGTTATGGCCTCAAACAAGTCATCCAATCTCAAATGCAGAAACAAAAACTAAAAGCAAAGAATGTTTCATTCTAAAATTTTAGGTGGGCTAGGAATGTAGGTCAGTGGCATAGTGCCTCTCTAGCATGTACAACATCCTGGATTCAATCCTCAGCCCTGAAAGAAAGTAAAAAAACCCCAAGATTCTGAGTCTCTCTAGAATAACAAAAGCATGTGAGTTTATTTAATTGAGTCCTATTTTAAATATCCTATCATTCAAATTCTGAATCTGGTTGATGTATTTCTGTTTTAAAATGTAATGGATCTTCTAGTAATCTCAATTCACAGGAAGTTTGAGGTATTTAAAACATTAGAACCAAAAGCACTAAATTATCTCTTACATTAGCTGAAGTTTTAAAGCTTCATCTTATTGAAACTTGAGTACTTTTAAGAACTTTCTCAATGTTTTTTGTGTTATGATTAATACTTCACATGCAAATGAGATCAATTTTACATGTATATATAATTTAGAAAGTCTCAGAAATATCAGTGACATAAAGAAAAATGATAGGGGCTGGAGAGATGGCTCAGCAGTTAACAGCACAGCTGCTCTTGCAGAGGACCCTGGTTTGGTTTCCAGCACTCATATGGTGGCTTACAACCATCTTTAGCTCCAGTTCCAGGGGATCCAACACTCTCTTCTGACCTCCGAGGACATTGCACAATATGGGTGCACTTACATGTAGGCAATATACTCATACACATAAAAATAATAAATAAAATATTTTTTTAAAAAAGGAAGGGGCTGGAGAGGTGGCTCATCAGTTAAGAGCACTGGCTGCTCTTGCAGAGGACCCAAGTTTGATTCCCAGCACCCACATGGTGGCTAACAACCATCCTTAACTCCAGTTCCAGGGGAATTCAGTGCCCTCCTCTGACCTCTGAGGGCATTGCATGACACAGGTGCACTTACACAAATGCAGGTAATACACTCATACACAGAAAATAAAAATAATAAATATTTTTTAAAAGGAAAATGATGATTGCTAAAGTCTGGGTGGTGCCTAACATGAGTCTCCCTTAAAGAGTATTACTGTGTGGCTGGAGAGATGGCTCAGTGGTTAAGAACACTGGTTGTTCTTGCAGAAGAGCGGGGTTCAAATCCCAGCACCCACATGGCAGCTAACAACTGTCTGTAACTCCAGTCCCAGGGGATCTGACAGCGTCTTCTGTCCTCCTCAGGCATTGCACAACATGGGTGCACTTACCTATATACAGGCAATACACACAGAGACATAAAATAAAACTGATAAATAAAAATTTAAAAAAAATAAATAAAGTGCCGGGTGTGGTGGTACATGCCTTTAATCCCAGCACTTGGGAGGCAGAGGCAGGCAGATCTCCATGAGTTCAAGGCCA